AATTTATGCCAAAATACTAAACTTATTGAACAGCATAAATAACTTCTTAATAGCTTGTATAGCCCGTAATACAAGACCACTTATAATAAATATATGTAAAAAATTATATTTTAACCAATTTTATTTAAATAACATACAATTATTTTAGTAAAGTTTTTCACATTTGCCCAGCTGCATGTATATATCAGTATACACAAATCACCAAAAAGTGTGTAGTCACGAATGAGAAATATATGAATCAAACAAATCGTATAATAAATAGTCTAACCTCTCTATAATTACACCGTCGGAATCATAGTGACTGTTTTTGAAAATGTGCTTATAAAGAGTTTGTGCTTATCTGTATAGAGGTTTTTTATTTTTACATGATGTGCTTATATGAATAGTGATTATAGAGAGGTCAGTTATACTGTAATTCACAGGTTTCAAACAAAAGCAAAATTATTTCTATTAGATGCGCTTCTATACCAATTTAGAAAACGAATTATACCTAAATAAAACTTTAACAAATTAATATTGTGTGATCAATTAGCTTGCAAAATAAATTAATTACACAAAAAAAAATCAGAATAAAAAAAAAACAAAAAATAAAAGTATATAAAGATACGTCATTATAAATAACCTCTGTGATTCGTTGTATCTACTCTACATCTTTAAAAAATAGAAAATTTTTCAGAGTTCAATGCTGAAGACTATGCTGATGATCAGGAAGCACCTCTTGAAGAATTATTTGATCATTTGGATCACTTTATTAATTATCTTCAATATGATAATATTAATATCGATCAATTTTTACCTGCTGGTGCAACTTTAATTAAGCATGATAAAAATCCTCCTCGCAGTAAATCCATAGAAGGCATTGAATATAGTATTCCACCGGATACTGATTTTCATAAATGGGTACAAGAATTCGGAAAATCGACGGGAGCACCCTATGTAAAACGTCAAATATTTCATAATGAGGGAAATGTAAGTTTGCAAGTAATCTACAAATATCATCGTGCTGGGACCTACCAAAGCACAACAGGTAAAGATCAATCAATAAAAGAACCACGACCTAATCAAAAACCAAGCAAAAAATGTGACTGTAAATCACGCATCATTGTTGCTAATACAAACACACCTAATGGAAAACAAATGATTATTAAATATACTCCCTATACTAATCACATTCCTGGCTCTGATAATGACATTGGCACATTAAGACTTTCTAAGAAGATTCGTAATTGGATTACTGAACATATTCGAGATGGTCTTAATGTCAAGGGAATTAATCGACTGTTCCAAAAGCGAGCTCGGGATATGTCAAAAGTCTGGAAAATAGAAATAAAACAAATACCATTATTATAAGAGATAATCTTGTAACCCGCGACGATATTTACAACATCTGGAAAGAAGCTATTGTTGATAATCAGATGAAACATAAATCCGAAGCGCAAAGTATAGAATTGTGAAGAATTGAGCTCAATCAAAAAAATGACCTTATCTGTGCAATTCCAAAGACAGAAGGTAAATTCCTTTTATCTTTTTATTTTTATTTATTTTATTTTATTATGCTTATTTTATTTATTTTATTTTATTCTTTTTTTTATATTTTAATTTACTTTTTATCTTACTTTATTTTTTTTTTATTTTATTTAATGTTTTATTTTTATTTTTTATTTTTTTAACCTTTTTTTCCTTTTAATTTTAGGAAACGGTGATAATGATAAGGGAAAACTCTTCGGATTTACAGTCCCGATTTGTAAAGAAATTATTCATGACATTTCTGTCATTCTTCTCGATGCAACTCACGGGACAAATAAACATAAGGATTTATTATATACCTTGCTTTTTCCTGACCCCAAAACCGGAAAAGGTATTACGCTTGCTCACCTTATTTCATCCCGCAAAAACTTCGAATCTGTACAGTATTGGTTTTATAACCTTCGCGCTCAATTTCCTGATTGGCAAGGTCCTACTGCATTTTTAGTTGACTGCGATATGGCACAAATCAAAGCTCTTCGTGTGGTTTTTCCAGAAAGTAGGATCTTGCTTTGTTGATAGCATGTTACAAAAGCCTGGAGGGAAAATCTTGCCAAGGTTAATAAAGAAAAAACCCAGTCATTAGAACGTAAACTCACATCTGATGAGAAAAGATCATTAGAAAGTGAGCTCTTTGAAGATTTAAAGTACCTAATGAACATTG